TCTCAGTACAATAGGAATGGAATGAGAAATTTGGGGTAGAGAAGGTATAAAAGTTAGAAGCCATAAGGGAGAAGTCTGATAGATATTAAACTACATTACAATGTAAAACCTATAAATAGAAAAAAAAAAACTCTATAAATAAAGTTAGAAAACAAACGGCAGTCTGGGAGACAGTATTCATTATAGATAAAACAGATGAAAGGATGGTATCCATAGTCTATGTATAAAGACCTCTTACTGTTGTAGGGAAAAAAAATCACAAAGTGTAGTAAAGCAAAAAAGAAAGTTTTATTCAGCATTTATTCAAAGAGGCAAAAGTAGGAAACAGACAAGCATGCTGCCAGAGCCATGTCTGCCCGAGTCCAAGGAAATATTACAGAACAGACAAAAGTGGGAAAACGGACAGGCATGCTGCTAGAGCCATGTCTGTCCAAGTCCAAGGAATCTTACAGAATAGGCAAGAATGGGAAGACCGACAAGCATGTTGCTAGAGCCATGTCTGCCAGAGTCCGAGGAATGTTACAGAATCATTGGTATGTATTAACATTACAAAATGAGCAAAACCATTGAAAGCTTCACCTTTTCACAGACTGGCTAGAAACTGTGATCTTAGATTTTGAATTGTCTTTCTTAACAATCATTGGTACAGGTTTCAGTAAGACAGGAGGGTCTTCATTGGTCCAACAAATTTTCTATTCACTAAATGCTAATAGAAAAAGATAAGAGTGGAAAGTCTTTTGTGTTCTGTTTGACTGGTTTATGTGAAAGGTTCCCTAAAAGATATTTTCCAAGATTATCCTAGTTATTGCCTTTATACCTCAGGGCTCAGTTGATGTGTCCTTGTAAGTCCTTGTGAGCCCAGCTCCAGCTGGGTCACATTCTCTATGTTCAAGGAAAGGGAATAATGACTCCAGTATTATTTCCTAAGTCATTACAAATGAATAAGAAACAAAATCCACTTTAGAAAGGGGCAAAAGATATGAAGAGGTGGTACACAGGAGAAGAAATAAATACCCAATAAGCATGTGAGAAGGTGTTCAGTCTCACTAGTAACAAGAGAAATGCAAATTAAAACAGTAGTGATATGTGTGCATATCAGATTTACAGTATTTTTAAATTAATTATTGTGAGAAAATGTGTACCCTCATAAATGATTGTGCCAGTGTAAATAGGTATATTTTTGGAGCACAGCTTGTCAGTACATGTAGAAATATAAAATGTACATGCCCTTTGAATAAACGATCCCACTACCAGGAATTTCATCTATAAAAATACTCACATATATGTAAAATGATATACATACAAGCCAAAAAAACTTGAAACAACCTAAAAATCCATCAGTTGGGGAATAATTAGATACATTTTTATACATTCTAATTATGGAATACTGTTCACTCTTTAAGGAGCCCTGGTGGCACAGTGGTTAAGCACTCATTTGCTAACTGAAAGGTTGGCAGTTGGAACCCACCAGCCACTCTGCAGGAGAAAGATGTGGCAGTCTACTTCCGTAAAGATTACAGCCTTGGAAACCTTATGGAACAGTTCTACTCTGTCCCTATAGGGTTGTTATGAGTCGGAATGAACTTGACAGTAACATTTATTCACTCTTTAAAAAGAACAAAATAGTTCTGTTTGTATTAACGGGAAATTGCATATGGTATGCTGATATATTGAAAAAGTAAGATCTGTGGGTAGCATAATTCTATTAGGTTAAATCATCTACGTATAAAAATCAAGATATGAGATGTTCCCACCAAGTTAAGGGTCTTCACCTCTGGGAAGAGCAGTGAGAGAAGAATGGGGAGGTGAGGTGACGGGAGCAAAAACTGGGACTTTCACTTTCTTGACACTTTTCTGCATTTGTTGAAATTTTTTACATATTTGGTAATTTAAAAACTCAGTGGAATGATGCATTCTTAAATTTAAAATTCTTATATTAAAAATTTGAAAGTCTCTGAAAGGTTTGAAAAAATAATAAAGTTCCCCATTGCCCAATGACACTATTGATATTTTGGAATAAAGGAAAAAAAAATGAGTTAATTAGGTAGAAAATATAGATAAATAAGATGGTGCAAGGGTATCTTTGGGGAGGAAGGGGACCTGACTTTGTTCCTTGGGTCCTTTGCTTGTTGCTTTTGACACTGGGGAAGCCATTTATCTTGTATGGTCTTGTTATGTTTTCTCTTTCCATTCTGCAGGTAGGGCTGACCTACTTCCATGGGGGAAAGGGCTAGAGAGAATGCAGAGAAAGGCTCTGCCTAAATGCAAAGTGTTATTGTTAGAATGTCCATGAATGAATGTCAGAGCCCAGCATCCCAGAGGGCCACCATTAAATGAGAAATACTCTTTGTAGAAGCTGAACTCTGAAGTAGGCACCGTGGTGAGGAGTGGGGTGGGCATAAAATAGATAACACATGAAAGATCACATGGCCAGGTAGAGAAGGGGTGTGTTTGTGTGTAAATCTTAAGAACATTTATACAGCAACAAAGCAGAACCTTTTAATATAGCATAGTAAACAGAATACTGAAGTACTAAGAAGGAATTTGAAGTAACTTGGAGCAATTAGATTTGGAAAATAGTAATTAAGAAATTCTTCCAGAGTGTAGGAGAAGGGTGTGTGTGTGTGTGTGTGTGTGTGTGTGTGTGTGTGTGTGTGTGTGTGTGTGTGTG